AAGATATAAATGTAATGAATAACAAAAATAAAAGATCAAAATTCACATAATCATTGCAATAGCTACAGAAAAAGCCTTTGACAAAAATCAGCATCCATTTAAAAATAAAAACCCTACTGAAAACATGGAAAAAAGACCATATCTCAAATTGATAAAAGATATTGTAAAAAAAAAACCTAATGCCAAGATCATAGTCAATGGGGAAAAATTGGAAGCTTTTTCTCTGAAGTCAGAAATAAGACAAGGGTATCCACTGTTATCACTGATATTCAATGCAATACTCAAAACCTAGCTAAAGCAGTCAAGCAAAAGAAATAAAAATACACCAAAATACAAAAAGAAGTTGCACCATCGTCATTCACAGATGACATACTCCTTTATGTAAATGACCCACAAAACTTCACAGAAAGAATGCTAGAACTAATAACTCAGCAAAAATACACAATACAAAGCAGACAAAAATCAGCACCAATCCTGTGCACTAACAATTAAACCAATGAGAAAAAAAAAAAAAAAAAAACCTGGGAAAACAGTCCCATTCAAAAGACTAAATAAATAAAAATGATTCCAAATAAGGAAGTAAAAAGCCTCTTTAGCAAGACTATGGTATTCTGTAAAGAGAGATCCAGGAGGATACTGGAAACTGAAAAGACAGCTTCTGTTCCTGGATAGGCCAGAATGATAGTATTGCTAAAAGTGTAAAATCAGTTCAATCTCAGTCAAAATCAAGAGTATTTGCCACAGAACTATAAAAAGCAATCTTAAAATTTTTGTGAAACCAGAACAGATCCAGCTTTAACAAACTCAAACCTGGACAATAAGGACAAAAGAGGAACCATGGCAATGGCTTTCAAGTTATAGCACAAATATACAGTTAAAGATTGCATGGTACTGGCACCAAATCAGGCATGAGGATCAGTGGAACAAAATAAAGGATGCAGAAACAACCTTGGTACACTCGGTCATTTCATCTTTGACAAAGGGGCCCAAGATATATGCTGGAGAAATGATAGTTTCTTTCATAAAGGTGTTTGCAAATGTGATCACCCAAAGCAGAAGACTGGATCAAACATCTCTATATTAAAACAGAATTGCCTAATCTTCTGGATGATAAAATAGGTAAAACTCTTGAAGATAAAGATGAATGTGAAGACTTCCTGAACAGGACCCCAATTAAAGGACAGTCAAATGGCATTAACCAAGTTTAAAAGGTTCTGTACAGAAAAGTAAAGAGCTAACAGAATGAAGAGACATCCTATAGAATAAAGGAAATGTCTTTCTGACTACTCATTGGACCGAGAATTAATATATGGAATATTTAAAGAACTCTAAAAATATAGATCCTCTAATATTAAAGGATATAATTACTAATTAGCAATCAAAATAAAAAGATGCTTCCCAGAAAAAGGAAACACAAGTAACCTATAATACATAAAAAATATTAAGCATCTTTGGTCATTAGAGAAATGCCAATTGAAACAAATTGAGATTTTATCTTAGTTCAGTAACAATGGCTATCATCAGAAATTTAAAAATAATAGATGCTGGTGAGGTAATGGGGTAAAGAAACCCATCTTCTTTCTTGGTGGGAATATAAAGTAGTGTAACCACTATGGACACCTATATGATGATTTCTCACAAAACTAAACATAATAATTCCATTTGACCCAACTGTACCCCTTCCAAATATCTTCCCAGAGTTAAAAAGTCATATTACAGTAATACATATTTACTTGAGTACATAGCACAACTCCCAGTAACTAAATCTTGGAAATAACATACATGACCACTAACATAGGAATGACTAAATAAAACGTATTTGTGAGAAACAGAGCACTACTTGGCCATAAAGAGGATAAATTAGAGTCATTTTTAGGAAAACAGATACATGGGATGACAATGCACACTTTAAGTGAAATAAATCAGAAACACAAGCTTAAATAGCACGTAGTTTCTCTCATGTGAGAAACTCACAGCATAAAGAAAAAGCAAAATAAAAGATAAACAATGGGGAATAGGGAAGAAGACCTTTTGCACATGGAAAGGAAGAGTTGGAGTCACAGGGCAGGAAAAGAGGGGAAGAGAAAGTAAAAAGTTTTAAGGTGTGACATGTGCATGTACTGAATCTCAACGGTGGAGTTATTCATTGTGTATCACAAACACTTCATTCATAAAGATTTTTTAAATATATTTTTAATTCTTAGCTGTTATTTCATGTGTTCCATGCTTTTAAATACCAGTTTTATGAACACAGACACTGAAGACAAAAAGTCTTTATACTTACATAATTTTCTAGTAAACCATTTGCATTTTGTCATAAAATTTTAGGATAGTCTTAATAGTCATCAGGTGATTACATGCCCAACATGAGTTTATATATTGTGTAAGCAAAAAATTTCAAAAAAAAAAAAAAAAAAAAAAAAAACACTGTTACTTTAGGCATGCATTTATTTTGGGGTGTTTTTGTTTTTGTTTTGTGGCACCAGGGATCAAAGCTTGCATTTACTTTTAAGCAAACCAAATTTTCAGAGTTGCTTTCCTTATTTTGAAATGAATTTAACTCTTAATTTTAATGCTGTATCTTAATAGCACATAATATCAAATAGAAATGTAAACTAGTTTTTTAAATAATATGCTCTCACTTATTTGAGCTGCATATATTTAGTGAAATATTATTTTCTGTACATATTGCTTCTTAAAATGTGCTGCATATAATAAAAATTTTATCATTTTTGACTATCAAGTGTGTAAAATGTACCAAACATCCTTAAGAAATAAAGTGATAAAGTCTTAATGTAGCCCAATACCTGATTATTTCTGATACTCACTATACTACAAAGAAATAAACTTTTGTTCCTATAAGAATTGACTTCAATCAACGAAGACTAAATTTCTACTTACCTGCTTCTCTGATTGCTTCAAGTTGTTTTAATTCCCTATTGTCTCCACTTTTAAATTAAGACTTTATAATGGACCACTAAGTTTAAAATCTTTGCAGTAAGTGTTTTCTTAGTTCTAACGGTTAATTTAAATTAGTAGAAATCAAGAATGCTCCCACACAAGGAAAATAATTAAGGACAACAGCCAGTTCTGTTGTGTAGGATAAGAACAGTCAACTAAAATGAGAGAGACACAGAGAGAGGCCTACGCAAAACACAACTGAAAGACCTTTTGCTGAGAATTGCATGACAAGATAGATTTATGAGCCATGCATGCTATACACCGATGTCAAAACTCTGGAGATACTCATGACATTGAGACATTTATAAATTATGAAAGAGCAACTCGAAAACGGCTGAAGACTTCTCATCCTGAGAGCTCCTTCACCGAAGGGCTTATCTCCTCACAATTCTTAGTTGTTTGTTTTTTCGCTCCAGCTTCTCAGTTTCTCTGAAATGAATTTTCAGTGTTTTGACCCTGAATTGAATTCCTACACATAACTATGAATCTGGCAAAGTTGTCACTGATTTCTTTCTAGCCTCACATAACTTATCTCCTACATCGAGCATTTCTGTCAACTTCTGTTTAATGAACCCTCCTTTTCTAACTCTCCAAGATAGCCACCTCTGCCCTTTTGGACTGTCATAGTTAAGTTTATGATTGTTGGTTTCTGACATTTTTCACTCTCATCGTTTTTTTCTTGCTATGTCCATAAACATTTGTATTCACTGATTACCACCCTCAATCTCTCTTCTCCATTATGTTTTCCTGTACCGTGAAACCTCATCTGCCTCTGCATCATCAACTGTACTGAAATTTCTTCCTTCACAAAGCACGCAGCTATATTTAAACTCATTATAGATTCTCAACGGCATGACTCACAGACATTTCCAAGTCAACATATCCAAAAATGACTTTAGTTTTTTAAATTCTTGCAGTAGGCACTGCTGGGCAATGATTGAGAGTTTGGTGCTGAAGCTTGATTCTGTCCACCCTGGATCGCTATTCACCATCTTATTATTTCTTTAATCAAGTTTTGACTTTCTTTGTACTTTGGTGACTATATCTACAAAATGGAGCATGAATAGCATTTTATAAGGTAGTAATGACATTTTGATAGCTTAATACATATGTAAATATGTATATCTACATATATATGTATATGCATATGTATATATATATATATATATACATAGAGATATATGGATATATTGATATAATCTGATAAAAACAGTGCCATTTATTTTCATTTTCATTGTCAGCTTCCCTTTCTCAGTGAATTCACCAATGTCTACTCATTTGCCAAAGCTAGAGGCAAGCAATGTTACCAGCTCCCTCACTGTCCCCAAACACTCACCAAACACTTTCTCATGTTTTACTAAAAATTCTCTCCAGCTTCTTCTCTCCTCCTACTGAGAAAGCCTCACTTCCACAACTTATTTCCAGATGTTGTTTTAAAGCTGCCTCATGCTCTTCCCCATCTCCACCCTTTCTTCTTCTATGAAAGTGACTATTATCAAACCAGAGTTAACCTGGAATCATCTTTCAAAGCTAGTATCTCCAAATCAGTTTTACAATAAATTCCAACTTTCACAGTACGATTTGAAGTTCATCTTCTGATCTATTTCTAATCATGAGCTCTTGCTGCTAATGCCTCAGTCTTCCGTGCTTATCCCACACTCCTGAAGGCTCTGAAGACTTTGTCTAACAAGTCCTGTCCTTTAGCAGACTCCTACTCATTTTTGGGAAACATTCCAAAGATTCCTCTTCTTCAGAGTGCCCTGACTCTGTTGGCCACCTACCTCTCTCCCTTGGAAAAGATGCTAGTTCATCTGCCCTTTTTACACTGTGAAGGGACTTTACCCATTATGCTGTCATTACTTACTTGACTATTCTACTCTTAGGCTGTGATTGTAAGGAACAGAAACAAAGCCTTCCCCCATATGCTTATACAAATAGCTTGCTCAGTCCTGTGTATTATCTGTTAGAGTAGGGTAATTATGATAAACAGTGCTAAATTTAAATAACAGTTAAACAATAGAAATCTGATATTTGCTTACAAGGCATCTTCTCAGTAAGGAGGTTTTGCTCTATAGCATGCCTAAGGATGCAGACTGATGGAAAGCCGACAGTTCACCTAGTATTTCCAAAGATGACTGGTCATAGATAAATGATTCGACTGTGGGGGAAAAAAGGAAAACAGAAAGGCTGAATTAAAACAAAATGTTTCGTGGAAATAATAAATCACATCTGTTCATACCAAAGTTGCTGAAACTTTATAACATGGACTTACCTAACTGTAAAAAAAAAAACTAAGAAATGTAGTCTATTTGTTCAGCGGGAAGAAAATGGTAATTCTATGTAGTCCTTAGTATTCCCTGCCCTGGTAATGTGCTAGGCACTCCCAAACACCTAAGTGCATGGCATGGCAAACTAGCCCTTGGGGTCAGAATTTCCTACAGGGCTATTTAAAAAGCACACATGACTGACACACTATCCTAAACCAGGTGTAAAGTCAGGGACTCTATTTTACAATTGCACAAATGATTCTACCACATAAGCTAGGTAATGATTTAACAGGTATTAACTAAATAAATGATTGATCACCCATATAATCTACTGAAATAAGAATAATCTTTAAGCTATAGGACAAATCTAAAGACTTTTATAAATAGGTTAAATTTTTAAAACATCAATATATGTGATTAATCTCTAAAACCCCAATAAAATAAATGTTACTCAACTCAATAACTCATATACTTTTCAGTGTTTTGTACATTTTCTTAAATTTTCTTCTATCGTACATTCATGAGATATAAACACAAGAAATATACAATTTCTGAGAGGATCCACTTTGCTTTTTTCTGAGAGGATCTACTTTGCTTTTATTGTCCTTTTCTTGTCAAAAACACCTCCAAAAACAATTAATACAACTAGGGTTCAATATATACCAAGTGCTTTGTCCTTTCCTTGGTGACAGGTTCAAGTACAAGGCTGCAAATAAGTCAGTGAACAATTTCAAAAAAGAGTAAATAATTTCACCTGACTACTAACAATACATCCTTAATGATATTATCAATTAAAAAATCAGGCTTCATATTTGTTTCAACTTTATCTCATGTTTCTCAGTCAATTTAGGTTTAGCTAATTCATCTATCAGTTAACATCAATTTAGCATTTTTACCCAATATAAAAATATTTATTCACAAGGATCAGTAACTAGTAAAGTCGTGTAGAAAAGGACAGTTGCCTATTCTGTGTTCACAGAGTTAGTGCTCCGGCCTTATGGTATTATTACTAGAATATATATCAAACCTAGAGTGTTATGAACAAAAAAAAAATAATTTTTAAATAATAGAGGAGTTTGTATGTGTGATTCAAACATTTTTGGCCACTGTAATGAAAACATAAATCAGAACATATTTTTTTTTTGTATTAGTGAATGTCCAGGTATTTATATTTTCAAAAGAAGCATCTTTTGTTGTTCTTTCCTGATATTAATGCCATCAGCAGCATTCCTTGACCTGAGTAAACTCTGCTTTGATATAAACTTCTGTTGGATTGGTCACAAACTCACATAAAGACAGGGTGGTGGGTCAAGACCTTTGTGAAAGTACTGTTCAGATATGCTTGTTGCACAGTGATGTAGTATGGATTTGTCATTGAAGCTTGAAGGCTTACATAGCAATGGATTTCTACGTTTTGTCTGCATGCAACCAGTGAGGTACTTTTGTAAAAGGATAGATGCTATCCATAATGAGAAGGCTAAAGGAAATTGTGAAAAGATTACTGTAATAGAAAGAAAGAGAATCACATTGATTGTTTATCTATGTACATAGTTTTACAAAAGCAGTTTTAGTTTTTACAAACTGTTGCAGTTACAATAAAATGAACTAAAATCATTTCTAGGAGATCACATAATAGTACGTTGAAATATTAGGAAATAGAAAAAAAACAAAAAACTTTGGATGGTTTCTTCATCTTACAGCTTTAGTCTCAATATTGCAGTTCCAGAAATCCAACTGTTGGACCAAAGAACTGAGTAAATTCATGGAAATTGCCACTAGAAAACTAAGTGTGAATGACAGCTAATTTAATGATACAATTAAGAAACTGTAAATTTTATACCTGGTCTTCAGTATATCAATAGAGCTCCTAATAAAAGAATCATAAAGTATATTTCCTATTTTTAATTTCAACTTACTCAATATTTTATTTCTTTACTTTGAATAAAGTGAAATAAAATAACTTAAAAGTTTATATATCTATTTCCTGAAAGATAAAACGAATAAACTAGCCTGGTAAACTACCCCTAACTTTTCAACAAAAGGCACATCCTCATGACCAAAGTACTCAGATTAGTTTTTATAGCTTATCCTGAAAAATATGAGGTTAACCACTTTTTTTTTGACTCTTTAAATCATTATATGGATGATTTCTCTCTATCAAGTTTTTGTACTTTAAATTTGTTTTTACCTTTTTTTTTATTTACCTTTAAATAAAGGTAACAAACAGGAATGTCTACATTAGGATTGAACTTTGAATTTTCCAATAAAAACTAACAACCATTAAGTGACTATTTTTTCCTGTAACAAATCGTACTTCTATAAATATTTATATTATTGTATTCTCAAAGCATCTCCTTATGTTAAAATGTTGAAGAGCAGTACATTATGCCCCTACCCAGTGTCAAAATACTTTTCACTTAAATTTCACAATATCTGAAGTCATTACTGGAAACTTTTGCTGATGTAGAGATCAGGTTCAGAGAGTTAATCTAAGATTACATACATGTTAGGCTTTTGAGAAAAGCTTCAGATACGACTTTTCATCATATATCAGTTTTACAACAAAAGAATGGTATGACACTTTTTAAGATGCCAGAGATTTTAAATTTATTTATTTTATATCATATTCTCTCAAGATGAAAATTATGTTAGTTTCTTCCTGTGTAAAAACTTTCAAATGGAACCAACTATAATGTCTTGTATACTTATATTTTATAGTGAGAAACACAGTCATTGACAGAATTGGTATAGGAAACAAAAAATATTTTCAGACTGACAAATCACACATAAGGAAGTTCCAATTTAGGTTCATCTACCAACAAAGTGAGTGATCACAGGAAATTTTTGCAACTTGTATTTTTATATTTCCTTAACCTATAAAATTGCAACATAAAACGTATGTTACAAGCTATTTTCAGGTTCCAAGGAAAAGTCTACAGAGTGCATACTATAAAATAACTACAAAAGAAAGAAAGAAACTACTCTGAAAAACAGGATTGATAAACACAGATACTGCTTCAAAGGACAGTCATTAAATCTTTCCACCATTTCCTGACGTTCATTTACATAAAGACACATTTTTGAAAATATGTATAAAAATACTTTAAGAAGACGAAAAATTAAGAAATTAAGCTCTGTGTGGAAAGGAAAACATTCTTTTTTTTTTTTTTTTTTTTTTTTTTCCCATACTGGAATCGAACTAGCAACCTAGTACTTGCCAGGCAGGCACTTATGCTACTGAGCTAAATCCCTAGCCCCAGAAAAACATTCTTTAAGACAAACTAGAGAAATATTTCCAAACAAATATTTGGAGATTTAGAAAAATCACAAGTATACATCACAATACTCCATACATTCCACGCATCACAGAGGGAATAGGTAAAAAATGGAAGAATGTATAAAAATCATGTTCTGTAAATTTGCTGATACCTTCCATAAATTCACAAACAGGTATAACAACATTATGTGATTTTGAACAATATAAAATCAAGTTTCCACCTATTGTATTTGAAACAATAGAACTAGATGGTCTATAAGTTTTATTACAACCCCAAACTATTTTGTTCTGACTAAAATATATTATTCTTCCTAATTAAAAAAAAATATACAATAGTATTCTCTATCATTTCAGCCCACAAAGTTATCACTCTGTAGAATAATAATGATAAACGAATCCATGCTAGTCAAACACATTCACAGTGTCTACTGTTGCAGTAATGTAGGGAATTACATTGGCTCACTTTTTCAAGTTTGTTTTCACAGGATTGTTTTTCACAGGCTGTCAGTTCCAAGTTTTGTTCTTGTGTTGCAGCGCATAACATCAAAACGATCAATTCAAACAACTTCCTAAAAAAGTTTAAATGAACTTCTGCAATGAGTTATTTTTTGCAGCATCAATTTCTGTCTCTGAGGGCACTACCAATGGGACGCAACCACTCTTAATTGAAGTCAGCTCTCCTGGGACTCCGTGTTCTGCTATCATTACCCTGCCTCTCTCTCTATTCATTCTGATGTCTCTTCTCTAACTGCTCACAAAGATTTGACAATATTGGGCATCCTTTCTTTCTGGTAATTATGTTCGCTATTTTTCTTTGCCTTTTTTCATAATCTGTTTTCTCCTTCCTTGCCTACTGTTCCTTTTCAGTCTCCCCCTTTTGTGCTTTCTCCACTTCCACTAGATTTTTCATTATCTTCATGTGTTTGACTCAGGGCCTATTCTTTTCTTCATGTTTCCCAGGACAGTTTTCATTTAGCGTACTGTTTTAAGCACATTTCTACGCCTCTGACTTCCAAATGTACACAATCAGCCCCGGGGGCTTCTGTCAAGTGCACACTAGGCTCCAACATCTGTTTGACAAATCAGCTTGAGTTTCTAATAGGCATCTCATAATTAACACATCTTAAAAGAAATGTATTTATCTTCCTCCAAAAACTCTCCAGCAGTTCTGAAGAATGTAACCACATAGCATTGTTGCTATTCTCATCTCTCCAAATTTTTCCAAATGAATTCTAAATGATCTGCCTGCTTCACCCTTGTCCTCTACCAGTGCACTCACAGCACAGCAAACAGTAGAGTGTTTCAAAAACACAATACTCCTCCACTTAAAATCAACTAGAAGCTTTCCACTACACTTAGAAAAAAACGTACAAATAAACCTCAAATCTTGTCACCCACCAACATTGCATTACATCTTAACATCGCTCTGTCACCTGCTGACCGTACTCTAACAGTGTTGATTTTTGGGTCTTTGGGCACAAACAATATCATCTTAGGGGCTGCTTAAATATATTAATAGTTTCTCATCAAAATTCAAGAATCAGCTGCAAATGCTATTGTCTCAGTAAGGCCTTTCCTATCCACTTAATCATTGCATTCATCTGTTTATTAACT